TGACGATGTGCCCGGTTTTGTCCATCTGTGGAGTGAAATATACATGGTTGGATGTGGTGTATGAGTTGAGGATTTGTTGGTGATTAGGGTAGGGTATAGATGACCGTTTGTGCATTCAATAGCCTAGACATTGAACAATAGAGGACAACAGGGTTCCAATTTCCGAAGGTCCCCAATTTGGATTCGTGTACAAAAAATATGGGAGGTCTTCCTAAAAAGTTAAAGTACTAACAAAAGAGGGACAATAGGACAAATACCCACATGTGTGGGTTGGGGTAATACTACGGCTGGGTTGGGAGCTTGGGATGGAGGTGATCGGGGTACGATATCCGTGGGCAGGGCCCAATTTCATGGCTCTACTGACCGTTAGTAAAAAATCCCTGCTTACTGTAGCAGAAATCTCCGTGCTAACGGTAAGCGTATTTCACTGGTTGACAAGGAATGTTGGCTTCGGCGCACGCGTTTATCCCATAACTACGGATAAGTTGCTTGCAGGGTTAGCACATAATTCGTCTGCTAGCTCGGTTTAATGGTGATCGTAAGCACGAAATTCCGTGGTTAGCACGGAAATTGAGCCCAGATTGCAGAAAGGGTGGTGTGGATGGGTGGGGTAAGGTATGGGTGTGGTCAGTTGTACTTACTGGTTGGATCTTGCACGTGGTGAGGGTAAGGGTGTCCGGGATGATATGGCTGGAGCGGACATGAAGTGGGTATGGTGAGGGTGAAAGATACCGTCGGGTAAAGGTGAAGAACGTGAGTAGGATACGATAAATGTTTTTGTGAGAGGCGGGAGGATCAAGGTTTGGCACTAAAGGGGAGCTTAGCTTAAAGGGGCGGTTGTTGTCAACGGTTTTGCAGACATGTGCTATTTTTCAGTTGTTTTGCTTTTTGAGGCCCAAGGAGGATAGTTAAGCCCCCTATCCTACCCGTAGATCCGCAACTGAGACTGGGCACAAGCGGTAAGGTGTGGGTGACACAGGTAGATGGCCAGTACAGGGGCTTTAAAATAAAGGAATGAGGATTCAGTAGAACTCCCTCTAACCCTACTTTATATCTGCAGTCGTCGATCAAACCGCCCGGATCAAAAGTGAAAAGCAGCCCTTGTATTAAAGTTGCCGACCCCACGGAAAAGTTGTCTTGCCTTAGAGGAAAAGGCACAAAAGGGTGTGAAAGTGCAACAATACCTCTTTTTTTTTTAACACCCCGAACTAACCATTATATCAGCCGGATCCGGCATGCGTGTACCGACACCACGAAGGGGAAACTGTATTTTCAGAAATAAGTACCAGGTGAATTCCATGCGTTAGAATTTGCATAACTTTGGAAGCAGTGTGCTATTTATTATATGGGGAAACCCCTCTTTCTCCAGACGAATTGTGTCGATAAAATTACACAATGCGAGGTCACACGTATAGAAATAGAAATCTGCAAACTTTTAGGAGTTAAATATGATGCATAACCCCTAACAGTGTAGTCTTTAAACCAGGTTCCCTGTTTACATCTGTGCAAAAAAAACCCCCATATTTCATACAAACGTGGCTTTTTTGGACGGACGGGTTGAGGCTAGAATTAGGTTTTATTTAAGGACTAATTATAATGACGTTGAACTCAAAAATTTCGTAAACAATTAGATCGCTTAATGCGGTAAACATCATGCACAAAATACAGCAAAGATAGCAGACCAGTCGACACTGTCAGATTATTAGTTCTCATACGACTAAGCTTCAACTTCACAGTAAAGTTTTAACTTCACAGATAATCGTTGATGAGAAACTGCAATTAACCATCTCTTCTGATGGATCATGGCGCAATCAAATGAAATGTTACATGCTAAATTATTTGTCAATAAAGGTTGATCAATAAAAAAAAATGAAAGGAGAAAAACCAAACGTTTTTCAAATTGTCTTGCTTAAAGCTATAGTCCATCATTTGCAGCCATCCGAAAAGTAGCTGGCGTAATTATTGTTGAAAAACATACTTGGTTGAAAGATAGTAAGGGGACTAAACTCCCTGTGAAATTTTTCTTTCTGGCAAGCTGTCATTTTGAAGTAATCAACGAAAGAAGGCCTTTCCAACGGTGCTTCTTAAGACGCACCGTAGGAAACTTGATTTAAATTAGTAGTTCGTTTTGTTATTCGGCGAAGCGCGCGCAAGCATTGGCACGACGCACACGCATCCTCGGTTGCTATAATTCGTCAGATCAGTGCGCGACATCGCGTAGCTGCATTCGGCTCAGCGAGAACGTGTCTCGGACGCTGAATTCAGGCGCAATTCAAAACATGATTCAGCAACTTTTGATTTGAAATTGAGATCCTAGAATGCTGTTTTTCTCAGAATATACAGCTGAAGCTGAGCTGAAACTTTATCAGGTTAGTTGTTCAGTACCCTTCTTTAGATTTTGAGCACTTTTGTTGCTTCAAACGAACAAAACGCACAAATTACAAATGATGGACTATAGCTTTAAGCATTTGTCACAACATAACTGACCCAACTTAGAATATGAGTAATCAAAATGAACCCAGAATTTTGTGTGGTCTCATTGTTGACGTTCATTGGTGTATGCATGAGGCTTGCACACACGGAAGTAAATATAACAAACCCACAAGACCTCGTATATAAATCTACGAGTATTACAGACGGCGCGCGTGACATTCTGCCAACATCGGGCTACTATATAACTGTCGGTACGATTGATTTTTATTTGCTGAATTTAAAATTGATTAGTTTCGTAACGGATCTATTTTCCCCAATAAAGCTGAGAGATTTCGACATAATGGCTATACAAGTCTGTGTGTTTCTGTGTATGACATGTGCTTGCTGTTTCCTGAGTGGATTTACCATGATGGTTGTCAGTGCAGAGCCCACAGTAACTGCGTGGATCGTTACACCGGAGAGGGATCACAAGATAGGCGGGAGCGTTCATATGAGATGCGTGGCCAATAACCTGGAGGCAGATCACATCGTGGGGTGGAGGACTGAGAACCCAACCAACTCACTGAGATGGGGTAATATGACTAATGCAGGAGGACATGACTCGAGATTTAAATTCGAGACTAAGCAAACAGGTGATCAAGAAATTACTCAAGAATTCAACATCACTCGTTTAAAACAGAGTGACGCTGATGAATACGTTTGCAATGTCCACCAAACCCTTTCGGCCGGAGGAAGCTTAATTGTGGCAAATTCATCTTTCACGCTGAGGGTATACTTCCACAATGAATTCTTCCCTATCTGCTCTCCTGACGGACCTATTGCTATCGACCCCTTAACAGACTTAAATATGCGATGTTCAGCCGACACAGGTAACCCGGGAGTATCGGTTACCCAAATTCCTCCAACGCCAAACACGTACACATGGATGTCATCGTTCATCAATGGTACATTATTTAAGATATTAGATTTGACACTTAATGTCACCGATGACAATCTAACGTTCGAATGCATCACCTTCTCAATGACATATGCTAGTCTGTCACATTCTTGTTTTGTTGGGCCCATTCATGTAAGAATTGGGACATTATCTCCAACTGGACTCACAACAGAAATCCTGAAGTCAGAAACGCGGCCTGCGACAATGCAAACCACAATAAGTGGACAGGAAACAACGACCAGGACATCTTCCCCAATCACGTGGGTTGCTGGCTTTATTGTTGCTATCATCCTTCTTGTACTGTCTTGCTTCATCATCGTTCTTCTCGTTGTTTACGTTTTCAAACTCAAACGTCTCATTGACAATCTTACCGAGAAACTGAGTGCACGGGAGCCTCAAGCTGGTATGTACATGGAGCTCCAACCAACGGATGACAGTCACACAGCATACACAAACCCGACTACTACCGGATCAACCAGTAAACAGCACACATACTGCAATACACTGGACACTGTGAATGAAAATACACCAGATGACTACGAACATCCACAGGACAAATACGAGGCAGTGGGCGTGCCAAAGAAGGATTAGAACAAGCTTTCCAACATCAAACACTATGGACGATTTTGAACTGTTTACAATTATGATTAATACAGACTCATAGTTGCGACATCAGACATTTTGAAAGTTGGCATTGCTTGAATCAAGGGCGTTGCCTCTTTGAACTTCTCTTGGGATTGACACCGTCAATATCTCTATCCCTTAGATCTTATAATTATTGATAATGTCTGCGGATGTATACTTTGTAAATAAATGAATTGCGGTGTTTTTTTTAAATGAATTTTGGAACATCGAACTTTATAGCTTGTACATAGTGTACATATTGCGCTCTTAGGCATTTGCCGCACAACGAAATGAATTGTTACACCTTTCCAAGTTTTTATGCGAAATGAAAGTTGTCGCAATTCTGCATCAATGGCTCTAGTTCTGTAAATAGCGCCCTCTATTGTCTATTCGGACAGAAATCATATTGAAATCAGTTAACGGATGCCTTACCGCTCTTTACTATAAATAATACGTATCATACATATAGCAATTCAAAATAAAGAAATATCGACCAGATGACAATTTATCGGTCTTGTTTGCTTAAAAATATCATTGACTTAAGTACAAAGATCTTTGACAAAAGATCCAGCTAGCTGGTACATACGCTGAAAAGTCAAAGTGGAGCTACGAAATCATATGAAATCTTTCATGCTCAAGTAATTTTCAATAAATATTGATTAAAGAAATATAGAAGAAAACATAGGTTTGTTAATTTGTCTTGGTAAAGCATTTGTCGCAACATAAGTGACCCTACTTAGAATATCAATAATAAAAAGAACCCATAATTGTGGGTCTCATTGTTGATGTTCATTGGTGTATGAGGCTTGCACACACGGAAATAAATATAACAAACCCACAAGTCTTCATATATAAATCTACGGTAATAAAGACGGCACGAATGGCATTCTGTCAACGTCGGGCTACTAGCTGTCGGTACGATCGATTTTTTTAATGCTGAATTTAAAACTGATAAGTATCATAAAGGATATATTTTCTTCAGGAAATGTAAGAGATCATCGACATAATGGCTATAGAAGTCGTTGTGTTTCTGTCTGTGATGTGTGCGTGGTGTTTCCTCAGTGGATTCACCGTGATGGCTGTCAGTGCGCAACCCACAGTGACCGCGTGGATCGTAACACCGGAGAGGAATCAAAAGATAGGCGGGAGCGTTCATATGAGATGCGTGGCCAATAACCTGGAAGCAGATCACATCGTAGAGTGGAGGACTGAGAACCCAATCAACACACTGAGATGGGGTAATGTAACTAATGCAGGAGGACATGACCCACGATTACTATTCGAGACGAAGCAGACAGGCCTGAGGGAAATTACTCAAGAATTCAACATCACTAACTTGCAACCGAGTGACACTGATGAATATGTTTGTAATGTCAATGGCCTCATATCAAGTGGAGGACACAGAACTCTGGCCACAGCCAGGATCACACTGAGAGTGTACCCGTCCAGTGAGTCCTTCCCTATCTGCTCCCCCGATGGACCCATTACAGCAGACACCGGGTCAGAGTTGAATATGAGATGTTCATCTGATACCGGCAACTCACCAATCACGGTATCTCAACTCACCTCATTGCCCAACATGTACTTGTGGCTAACGGTCGTCAATGGTACATTGTTCAGGTCATTAGATTTGACACCTGATATCACTGATGACAATCTAACGTCTGAATGCATCACCTTCTCAATGGCTTATGCTGGTCTGTCACATTCTTGTTTTGTTGGGCCCATTCATGTAAGAATTGGGACATTATCTCCAACTGCACTCACAACAGAAATCATGGAGTCAGGAACGCAGCCTGCGACAATACAAACAACAATAACGGGAGAAGATACAATGACCACGACATCTTCCCCAATCACGTGGATTGCTGGCTTTATTGTTGCTATCATCCTCCTTGTAGTGTCTTGCATTATCATCATCCTTCTCATTCTTTATGTTGTGAAACTCAAACGTCTCATTAACAATCTTACCGTGAAATTCAGTGCACAGGTGCCTCAAGCTGGTCCGTATATGGAGCTCCAACCAACGGATGAGAGTCACAGAGCATACACGGACCTGACTACTGCAGGATCAACCAGTAAACAGCACACATACTGCAATACACTGGACACTGTGAATGAAAATACACCTGATGACTACGAGCGTCCAGAGGACAAATACGAGGCAGTGAGCGTGCCAAAGAAGGATTAGAACAAGCTTTCGATCATCAAACACTGTGGACGTTTGTGGACTGTTTACAATTATGATCAATACAGTCTCATTGTTGCGACATCAGACATCTTGAAAATTGTCTTGCTAAAGCATTTGTCGCAACATAAGTGTCCCTACTTAGAATATCAATAATAAAACTAGAAATGTGTTTGTGGACAAACACAAGCTGTTTCGGATATTTGAAATACTCTGTGCACGTGATGAACACTTGATGAAGTCACTTCGAATGTCATCTGCCAAGTGAAAAGTCAATCAGACATATAGTGCCAAAGTATGATTTGAAGAAAAACGTGTACAAACCCTTGGGGAAAAATGCATCTTTAATGTGACGTAACCTTACACCTGATGATGTCACGATCACGAATTTCTTCTAGGACCATCTGTAGGTGGTAGTCTAAGTGTGTACCAAGTCTAACGTCGATCGGATTTACGAAAGTGCCAAAGTAGAATGTTTTAAAACGTGTACAAACCCTATGGGGAAAAATGCATCTTTAATGTGACGTAACCCGGCACCTGATGATGTCATGGTCACGAATTTCCTTTAGGACCATCTGTGGGTGGTGGTCTAAGTATGTATCAAGTCTGAAATCGATCAGATTTACGAAGAGGTCAGAATGGCGTGTTTTAAAACGTGTACAATACATATGGGGAAAAATGCATCTTTAATGTGACGTAACCCGACACCTGATGACGTCACGGTCACGAATTTCCTCTAGGACCATCTGTGGGTGGTGGTCTAAGTATGTACCAAGTTTGAAATCGATCGGATTTGAAAAAGTGGCAAAGTGGATTGGTGGAAGAAACGTGTGTTAAACCTATGGAGAAAAAGTCTGAAAAAGGAGAAGAAAAAAAAACTAGAGATCTATGTCTGTTTGCAACAGAACATAGGGCTTTTCCGCATTATGATTTTTTTTAATCGATAATACGTCTCTGACTATGCATGAACATAAAGTCTGTCAAAGTTAGCCGAAAATCGGCTAAAACAGTCACTGTGGTCAGGATTTGAACTCAGTAACACGTGCCCTGCGGGCTTACTGACATACGATGTATGTGCGTATGTATGGTGGCCCTGAAGGGACATCGCATATCGCAAATGTGTGCGCGCACGTATGCAATGTCGTGAAACAATTCGCGAATATATGCGCACACATATGCGTTGTTGAGAAATTTATCGCGAATATGTGCTCACACGTATGCGATGTCGCAAAATTTATCGCGAATATGTGCGCACACGTATGCGATGTCGTGAAACAATTCGCGAATATGTGCGCACACGTATGCGAATTTGTTTGCAATGTCGTGAATTTTGTTGCATACCTTGTCGCATACCTTTCAGTAAAATTCCTAATGAACTGGGGAGTTGTAGCAGCTAGTCTGGAATCTAGACGTACTGTTAGATATAAATAGGGTCTGACTAATAATCCTTCGCGCGCACGCTGTTCCTCGTGCAATCGTTACTACAAGTACTGTCGAGCACAAACTTGCTACTTGCGCAAGTTTGAAACTTGCGCGCGCAAATTTCAAAGTTGCGCAAGTAGCAAGTTTGCACCTCCTCAATTTTGTTTACCAAAGAGCACCAAGGAATGGGAAATTGTACCAAGGCAAATGATCGAAAGCACCAAGGCAAATAATGGAGGACACCAATGTACATGAGGACACCAAAAAAGCATAATAGTTCCCCACCTTGTCTGTACAATCCAAGCTTGAAGAAAAAAAAAAAAAAAAAAAAAAAAAAGGGGCCGCGTGGCCGCGTCAATTCCGGAACTTTGGTCTGACCAGAGACCGAATATTTTTTTTTTTGGCCTAAGATATATCAGTTTTGTATAGGGAAAGACTTGTGGAGAAAGCTGTGTACAAAGTCTATGAGAAAAATTAATAATTCATAAATCCATAATAAATCACTTGATGACGTCACCATGACCTCACTCTTCGGGACACATCTTGGCTATAGGGACTATGCTTATGCCAACTTTCAATGATATCTGACAAAGATTAATGCCAAAAGTGCTATAATACGTCACTGTCTATGCGCATGCATGAACATAAAATCTGACAAAGTTAGCCGAAAATCGGCTAAAACGGTCAATGTGGACAGGATTTGACCTCAGCAACACGTGCGCTGCAGGCTGACTGACATACGATGTATGTGCCTATGTACATGTACAACGTACGTGCATGTACATGTACATGTACATTGTGGACGTCCTGTCCTGTGCATGTTTTGAAGCAGAGGTATTGTCAACGTGAAGTTTTAAGCGTGTGCAGGGTATGTTCGAGTTCGCTTATCGCCTCGAAACTTTAAAATGTTTTAGACCTACCCTTAAATCTACAATTAAAGTAAAAACTAATATAAAAACTGCCATGGTTGATTTTTCAGGAATTTTCTAAGGAAAAACGGTCTTTTCATTATAACTTCCGGTCTGATGACGTTATTCGCCTAAAACTTCGCACACGTCTTAAGGTGGTCAAGGTCATTATATACACCAATATTTAGGCGATTCCGACAAACTTCGCCACAGACATCTATTCAAAATACATTTTTGCTAATTTTCAACCTGTCGCTAGAGGGCGCTCGAAGATTGCATGACGTCATCGGTAGATGATTTGAAGAATACTATCAGCCAAGAGACTAACACCGTTAAAAGCAAGTTCATATCTATTACCACTTTTAAATAATAAGCCACTTCCAGTTTGGGCCTTTTTCGACCGGAAGCAAGGGTCACGTGATTGCACGCACACTAAATGAAATGAAGACCTCAACCTACTCTACCACTTGCCGGCAACAGAATGCTTCGGACGCGTACGGTTGATTTCTTATGCATTTTTAAATATTAAAAGTGTCACAATTTAATTGCCTATAAATAAACACAGGATGACGTCATCATGACGTCATCATTCCACAATGTTGTTTGAATTAGGGTCTTTGCTTGGACAAAGAGTGGTGTAAATGAATAACTGGCAAAGAGTCGAAAATGCCCTTTGAAAAGCGACAATTTTTTTTAAATTTCTGTGTACAAAGTCTATGGGAAAAATTAATTATTCAAAAATCCATAATAAATCACTTGATGACGTCACCATGACGTCACTCTTCGGGGCACATCTATGCTATAAGGACTAAGCCTATGCTGTCTTTGAACGATGTATGACAAAGATGAATGGCAAAAGTGAGGGGCAGAAGAAACGTGTACAATGTCTATGGGATTTGCCGGGGAATAAAAAGAAGAAGAAGCAAGAAAAACTAGAAATGTGTTTGTGGACAAACACAAGCTGTCTCGGATATTTGAAATACTTTGAGCACGGGATGAACAATCAGTGACGTCACTATAAATGTCATCTATAACAGCACATAATAATATGTACATGTCAAGTTACAACCAAATCGAACATTTTAGTTCTGTAGATATAGACCTATAAAAGAATAAAATGCCCCTTTAAGGGACTTCACATGACATTTGATGAGGATGCCACTTCAATTTCCATCTATAACACATCCATGTGAATATGCATACCAAGTTTTAACCCAATCAGACTTGTACTTCCGAAGTTCAGTTTGAAGAAAAACGTGTACAAAACCAATATGGAAACAATACATCTTTAATGTGATGTAACCTGACACCTCATGACGCCACGATGACGAATTTCTTCTAGGACCATCTATGGGTAGTGGTCTAAGTGTGTATCAAGTATAAAGTCGATCAAGTTTACGAAAGTGCCAAAGTGTATGGTTTGAAGAAAAACGTGTACAAAACCTATGGGGAAAATGTGCATCTTTAATGTGAAGTAACGTGACACCTGATGACGTCACGATCACGAATTTCTTCAAGGACCATCTGTGGGTGATGGTCTAAGTGTGTACCAAGTGTAACGTCGATCGGATTTACGAAAATGCCAAACTGGAGTGTTTTAAAACGTGTACAAAACATATGGGCAAAAATGCATCTTTAATGTGACGTAACCTGACACCTGATGACGTCACGATCACAAATTTCTTCTAGGACCATCTGTGGGTGGTGGTCTAAGTATGTACCAAGTCTGAAATCAATCGGATTTTAAAAAGTGGCAAAGTGGATTGGTAGAAGAAACGTGTGTTAAACCTATGGAGAAAAAGTCTGAAAAAGGAGAAAAAAAAAAAAGAAAAAACTAGAAATGTGTTTGTGGACAAACACAAGCTGTTTCGGATATTTAAAATACTCTGTGCACATGATGAACACTTGATGAAGTCACTTCGAATGTCATCTGCCAAGTGAAAAGTCAATCAGACATATAGTGCCAAAGTATGATTTGAAGAAAAAAGTGTACAAAACCTACGGGGAAAAATGCATCTTTAATGTGAAGTAACCTTACACCTGATGATGTCACAATCACGAATTTCTTCTAGGACCATCTGTGGGTGGTAGTCTAAGTGTGTACCAAGTCTAACGTGGATCGGATTTACAAAAGTGCCAAAGTAGAATGTTTTAAAACGTGTACAAACCCTATGGGGAAAAATGCATCTTTAATGTGACGTAACCCAACACCTGATGACGTCACGATCACACATTTCTTCTAGGACCATCTTTGGGTGGTGGTCTAAGTATGTATTAAGTCTGAGGTCGATCGCATTTATGAAGGTGCCAAGGTGGAGTGTTTTAAAACGTGAACAAAACATATGGGGAAAATGTGCATCTTTAATGTGAAGTAACGTGACACCTGATGACGTCACGATCACGAATTTCTTCAAGGACCATTTGTGGGTAATGGTCTAAGTGTGTACCAAGTGTAACGTCGATCGGATTTACAATAGTGCCGAAATGAAGCGTTTTAACACATGTACAAACCCTATGGGGAAAAATACATCTTTAATGTGACGTAACCTGACACTTGATGACGTCACGATCACGAATTTCGTCTAGAACCATCTGTGGGTGGTGTTCTAAGTATGAATCAAGTTTAAAGTCGATCGGATTTACGAAGATGCCAAACTGGAGTGTTTTAAAACGTGTACAAAACATATGGGGAAAAATGCATCTTTAATGTGACGTAACCCGACACCTGATGACGTCACCGTCACAAATTTCTTCTAGGACCATCTGTGGGTGGTGGTCTAAGTATGTATCAAGTCTCGAATCAATCGGATTTGAAAAAGTGGCAAAGTGGACTGGTGGAAGAAACGTGTGTTAAACCTATGGAGAAAAAGTCTGAAAAAGGAGAAAAAAAAAAAAAAAAAAAAAAAAAAGAAAAAAAAAATCTTAACGAAAACAAGAGCTGTTTCGGTGTGTCACCGAAACAGCTAAAAAGAAAAAAAAAAATCTTAACGAAAACAAGAGCTGTTTCGGTGTGTCACCGAAACAGCTAAAAATGAGAACAAAAAGAAAGGCTTTTCCGCAACTATGCGGAAAAGCCAAAAAAAAAAAAAGAAAAAAAAAAAAAAAAATCTTAACGAAAACAAGAGCTGTTTCGGTGTGTCACCGAAACAGCTAATGAACCCAGAATTGTTGGTCTCATTGTTGATGTTCATTGGTGTACGAGGCTTGCACACGGAAGTAAATATAACAAACCCAGTATACCTCGTATATAAATCTACGAGTATTACAGACGGCGCGAATGGCATTCTGTCAACGTTGGGCTATAGCTGTCGGTAATATTGCATTTTTTTATGCTGAATTTAAAACTGATAAGTTTCGTAACGGATCTATTTTCCTCAAGAAAGCTGAGAGATTTCGACATAATGGCTATACAAGTCTGGGTGTTTCTGTCTGTGATGTGTGCATGGTGCTTCCTGAGTGGATTTACCATGATGGCTGTCAGTGCGCAACCCACAGTGACTGCGTGGATCGTAACACCGGAGAGGGATCGAAAGATAGGCGGGAGCGTTCATATGAGATGCGTGGCCAATAACCTGGAAGCAGATCAAATCATCGAGTGGTAGACTGAGCACCCAACCATCTCACTGAGATGGGGTAATGTAACTAATGCAGGAGGAAATGACCCACGATTACTATTCGAGACGAAGCAGACAGGCCTGAGGGAAATTACTCAAGAATTCAACATCACTAACTTGCAACTGAGTGACACTGATGAATATGTTTGTAATGTCAATGAGCCCATATCAACCGGAGGAAGCAGGATTGTGGCCACAGCCGGATTCACATTGAGAGTATACTCGACCAGTGAGTCCTTCCCTATCTGCTCCCCTGATGGACCCATTACAGTAAATACCGGGTCAGTGTTGAACATGAGATGTTCATCTGATACGGGAAGATCGCCAATCACGGTATCTCAACTCACCTCAATACCCAACATTTACTCGTGGCTAACAGTCTTCAATGGTACATTGTTCAGGTCATTAGATTTGACACTTGATATCACCGATGACAATCTGACATTCGAATGCATCATCTTCTCAATGGCTTATGCTAGTCTGTCACATTCTTGTTTTGTTGGGCCCATTCATGTAAGAGTTGGGACATTATCTCCAACTGGACTCACAACAGAAATCTTGGCGTCAGAAACGCAGACTGCGACAATACAAACAACAATAACTGGAGAAGAAACAGGGCAGTCTGAATTCAACATAGCTCTGGTTGCAGGTGCATCGGCAGGTGGATTCGCTGCACTTGTCCTCATCCTGATCCTAATTCTGTTTTGCGGCAAGAAAGGCCTCTGTGCCACCAAAACAAAGCCTCCGAGACACAATAGCGATTTGATGACCGCTCTGACAAATGCTGATCTCAGAACTGATGAGTTAAATGCATACGATGATCATGGAATTGTTAGCCTAGGTAATCATGGAGCTGATGACGTCAACATCCGTCAAGATACAAGTGACGTCCCCATGTACGCAAATCCAAGAGAACCTCCCAACACATCTCATTCTACCAATACACCTAAACCAGCGACAGTGCAAGACGAGAACACGGCTACACCTGTGTACGCTAAACCTCACCAGACGCAGCCTCCAGGACTTGTTGGTCCAAGGAATCATGGAGTTGATGACCTCAACATTCGTGAAGATGCAAATGACGTCCCCATGTTCACAAATCCAAGAGCAGATCCCAACGTCTTTCAGCCTGTCAGAACACCTGCATCGGCAACAGGACAAGCCGACAGCACGATTGCATTATACGCTAAACCCCACAAGACACAAACACCGAAGCAAGGTGATGACGGAGTTCACATCCCAGCCCCAACCCAGTCAGAGCAGAGGTACAGCACCCCTACCTTTGATTCTACCTACCCAGAGAGCACCACTGACAGCATGCCTCGTAAGCCGACGGCCAAGGTCCCTCCGATGATGAAAGTCCCCAAGAAACCACCTGCTTACAAACCCAAACCACAGCGTACAAGCAACCCCCATGACAGCTCCTCTCACCAGCCACCTGTTACCCTAGGAGCTACCGTGGAGAGTGGCCAAGTTGGTGGGAGTGATAAGGCACAACCACCGCCCAGTGACGTGGTTTCGTACGCTCAGATCTCAACACCAGGGAACCAGTGTGCAGCCAAGCCCAGTCAAGACCTATTGCCTGGGCAGTCAGGCAAAGATCACATCGTCTATGCTGATTTAGTCTGCTCCGCCTGCTGATGGGGGTCGACAAAGTGAGCCTGTGTTGTACGCAGAGGTCATGAAGAAATGAGGGGTAGGCACTCCTGTTTTTAACCAAATACTGTCAAGAAACTAAAAATATGCACACCCACAATCATACACTATATTATTTGTAACATCGTTAATACGAACAAAAGAGCGATGTTCAAAATCCTTTGCATCAAATTTGTATTCAGCTCATGATAACGAACTAAATGATTGATTGATGTAAAATTTCGAGGAATAAATGAAATCTTTGTTTTTCGACTAGTTCATTAGTTTCGTTTCGGTTTGCGGTAACACCATGTGGTAATAACTACTGCTCAGTAGATATTTAGTTCTAAAAAGAACTTGTCCTGCGTATTATTAACTTTCGATAAGTAGTTTTTAGTTCTGGTAAGAACAGTCCTGCTTTAAGTTCTAAAAGAACTTGAAGACCAAAGACAAAGTCCTGCTTTAAGTTCTAAAAGAACTTGGAGACCAAAGACAAGTTCTTTTAGAACTTAAAGCAGGACTGTTCTTATCAGAACTAAAATCTACTCAGCGAAAGTTGATAATAAGCAGGACAAGTTCTTATCAGAACTAAATATCTACTGAGCAGTAGTTATTACCACATGGTGTTACCGCAAACCGAAACGTTACCGATACTCCACCATGCAAAGCCTCAAATCTTATATAGTTCATTAGTTGACACCAATAATGTGTATTCATGATTGTGGCTGTGCAATACAAAATGATAGTAACAGAATATTGTGTATATATTGCTCTTTATTATCCAATAATTTTAACTTAATCGCTGTGACTTCAACTCAACATGAAACATGGGGCTTAAGTGTCTGTCCTGTGTACAAGTGCCATGATTTGCACTTTTTGATGTAAATAACACATTAAGCATATTAAGAACCGACGATTATAGCAGAATGTTGATCGTTTAGACACTAATCGGCATTTGAGCACCGTACATTTTGTACTGTATATACACTTCGTCAAAGGAACTAATTCAACTGAATCATGTATTCCAAGCGCAGAAAAGGGTGCAAGCAAAATTTAAACTCGTTGACTAAAGCGTGAGTTCCTTTACTTCTTTCTAAATAAAGTCTCTGACGTAGAGGCCATACAATAATCTGGATGGGATTACAATACAATGGTCTGACCTGAAAGGTCAGGAACGTGATAGTCCGCACAATAAATAAATCCTTCAGTAAAAGTTAAGATCACTCTGTAAAGACCGATACATTATTGCAATGAAGCAATGATAGTTTGTTTGATGATGTAAATGTAATTATAAGTAATCCGCTATACATACTTTCAGTTCATCATGCCATTTCACATGCTTAGGCTTATGGTCTGAATTGTAGATATTTGTTTCTTCAAATGCACAAGAAAGAATTTAAGCGCAGTGTCAAAATATGATTACAAATGGATTGAAAGTTTCCAGGTTTGAGATTGTTTGGTTTGCAGTGGACGCGCCGGTCTCATTTTGTTTTTGTTGCGTCGTACTCTGAGCATGCGCAGAGTATAAACACTGTTATCGCATGATTATCAAAAACAAAAGTAAGGAACGTGTTTATTTGCTGGTAAAGTGTAAATATAGAAGTATGACTTTAAAACTTATACAATATATATAAGAAACAGAAAGCTTAAAATAAGATTGACTGCTGCGCAGCCGAGTGCATATTATAATTATGGATAAAAGAGGCAATTTTTTAGGACTTGATTATTAAAATGTTTGTATGTAAGGAGGATTTCTTGAGGAAATATTCAGAGCATTTGGTGGCAATTTTAAAAAGTGTAAAATATTCCGATAACAAGTATATAATCCATTTTTTTATAATAAAGATTGCAACGATTTCAACTGCATTTGTCATTTAACAGATATTCATAGTAAGGAGGAAGAAATATTGTTTTCATTGTGATATTTTGACAAAGTTTTATAAATACTTAGAGTATTAATGCTCTGCATTTATACATTAGTTAAGCGCGAATGGGCAAATGGGATGTGAAGGTCTATCACAATAGTGGAAATATTTTGTATTTACAATCACTTAACGAATTGTTGTGAGACTTCATGTCCAAACTGGATTTTTCCGGCTGAAAGTTGTTGGTTTTGTTTGGTCTATTAACAATCATCAATGCCAGGGAAACATTGAATGGGGAAAACCTGATGTTGGCATGGGTTGGGCATGAGGTGCCATGAGGAATACGATATTTAGCACAAAGACCAAAACATTTCCTTCAGTAGATGTTAAGATCAGTTTCGAATGATCAAGGTATAATTGCAATGAATCAGTAAAAGATTCTTTGGTGGTGTAAATGTAATAAGTAATCAGCTGTATGATTCTGCTAGTTTATTTTGTCACGTCACATGCTTATGATCTGATTTGTAGAAAGAAGCTAAGCGTAACTTGTTTATATGATTACAAGTTATTTGAAAGTTTGCCCGACTTGATTTGTTTTTATTTCAGTGGACGTACAAGAGTCATTTTCATATTATATTGTTTTATTGATTCCCATTGAAAACGAATGTATTGCAGATGCTAATGGGTTAATGTTAAATAATATGTTATTGCATCATTATCCGAACATATCGCATGATTATCCGAAAAAAAGAATGCGTTTATTTGCTAGTAGAGTGTATTTAGCAATACGACTTAAAATATTACAATAATGCAATGTATATAAGAAAGAGAAAACTCTTTGGTGGCAGCTTAAGATCGATTGTTGCGCAGCTGAGTGTTCATTACAATTATGAAGTAAAAAATGCAAGATTGTTGAGCTACTTCATTATTATAGTCTTCGTTTGCAGGCAGGATTTCCTGAGAAAGAATGCACGTTGTGGCAATTAATTAAAAAGTGTAAAATATTCCGATAAGTAAATTTGTATTCCATTTGTTTTAAACATTGCAATAATTTTAAATTTATTTGTAATTCAACAAATATTCCTCGGAAGAAGGAAGTAACACCTTTTTATTGTGATATTTTGACAAGGGTATATGAGTATAAATGTCAGTTAGCTCCGACATTTAAGCGTTATTGGGAAAACAGGATGCGACGGTCTTGTCAAAATATTGCGAATATTTTGTTTTCACTATCATGTTACTAATTATTGCAAGACCTCATGTCAAGAACTAGGAATTTCCTGCTAATATTCATTTGTGTAGTTGGCCCTTTTTGTAGAGAATGACACGTATAAATGACAGGGAAAACAACTGAATGAGTGAAACCTAATTCTGGCACACGATAGCCGCGGGGTGCCATGATATTTTGCATGCACAAAGAAAGAACTGTTTCATTTAGCAGATGTTCAGATCAGCTTGTAAAGATCGATGCATTAATACAATGAACTGAATGAAGCTATGAAGGATAGTTAAAAAAAAATTGTTTGATGATGCACATGTAATATTAGGAATCAGATATAGGCCTATATACTTTCAGTTACTTGATGTTAAAATCAGTTTGTCAAGTTGGACCCATTAATACAATAAAGCATTGAAAGATCAAGTTAAAAGTTAAAAGCTATGTTTGATGATACAACTGTAATATAAGTAAACAGCTGTATACACGTTTAGTTCACCATGCTTTTTGACATGCTTAGGGATTTGGTCTGAATTGCAGATATTTTCTTCAAATGCTTAGGAAATAATTAAAGCACAATAATGAAATATGATTACAAATTCATATGAACATGTTTGGGTTACAGTGGACGCGCCGGTGACATTTTTAAACTTGTTACGGCGAACTTTGAGTATACGCAGATTATTAATGTCATATTATTACTGTGATCGCATGATTATCCGAACATTTGCTAGTCGAGTGTATATAACATTAAGACTTAAAATATTAAGATTATGCAATTATAAAAGAAAGATTAAGCTTAAAGATCGACCGCTGCGCAGCCGAGTGTTTATTTTAATTACAAAGTCAACATTGAAACATTCTTGAGGACTTGATTATTAATATCTCCATATGCAAGCAGAATTTTATGAGAAAAATGCACAGCTTTTAGTGGCAATTTAAAATGTGTAAAAATATTCAGATCAGCAGAATTATATTCCAGTTTTTAAAAGATTGTGCCGACTTTAACTTAATTTGTCATTCAACAGATATTCATCGGAAGAAGGAAGTACAGTGGAATATTTTTTACTGTGATAGTTTTAAACAGATATATGAATACTAAGGGTAGTTTTTAATTTTAAAGTTGGTGTATACGTGCTTTTCGGGTGTGGCACCTACATTTCTAGCATTAAGCTAGTTTATGAGCTTTCCAATACAACATCACACGAAAAATATCGGCCCATAAAATGCAATCAATTAATTAATTTCAACTTTTGAATTAAGAGCGAGACGCTCCTAATTCGTTTTGAACAGTGTGCGCAATTTCTGAGCCGGAGCGCGCCATTTAAAACCAATTCATAAAACTGTATAAAGGCTTTCAAAAACAAACAAGCACATTTGTTTGTTACAGGACATTATAGTCCTTTTAAATTTTGTTCAGAAAAGAAAATCAAAGTTTTTGATGAAAAAAAACCCCACGTATATACCAACTTAAAGCGTTAATGGGAAATCAGGATGCGACGTACGGTATTGTCAAAATAGAACAAATATTTGGTTTGTACTAAAAGTACCAATTATTGTGAGACTTGTGTTTTTAGGACTTTAGTGGAGAACAACAAACAATAACATGCTAAAAACTTTGAATAAGAAAAATCTGACTTTGGCACGGGGTGCCACAAGCTTTGAATGCATTAACATTTTAGAGTTGTGAACGTACTTCAGTGATTCTGTTTAGTAACAATATGCAAATGCATGACCTTGCAAATGTACATACATCGCTATATTATCTTTTATTTTGAAGTTGTATAATACAAACACTTTTTTGGTTGAAGTAACAATGTCTCTGGATAGAAACGAAAGTAGTTTAGATGTATACTCCATATTCAGTAGTTCTTTCTTTTTAGGTAGGCCTTTATACAATGCCATTTTTTTGCCTTTTCGAAAAC